GCAGGGAGAGGGAGAAGCAGGCTCCCCGCTGAGCAGGGAGCCCTATGTGGGGCTCGATCCCAGGAACCTGGGATCATGACCTGAGCCGAAGGCAGATGCTTAACCGACTGAGCCACCCAGGTGCCCTATAGATGTGCTATATTGAGAATGACTGTCAAAAGCCTCTCTTGTTTTCTGATGAAAAAGCAGAAGCAAAAGTAGAAAAAAAAGAATATAAGTATGTAAGTCTACTATTTTCCAGTTAGTTTTGCCATGAAATTGATTTTTAAATCTCTGTTTTTGGAGGTGGCCTAGATCTTCCAAGGTTTGGCTTATTACATAACTTGTTGCTGCTCTATGTTTTTATCAAATCTGTTAATAGCACCAATTTTCGGTTTCACACTCTAGAGGAAGTCATTTTTCCCCACTGTTATTATCCTTCCTTTTCCTTCTCAGTGGATGCTAGCTCAACTTCTTTATCCGTCTTGGCTTTTTGTTTGTATTGCAGGTCAAAGAGTTTGGCTTTGCACACTGCGCTGACAAAGAGCATGAGTTCAGATGATGGGGAAGTTGTAGAGAGTGAAGAAATGCCAGCCAGCACCTTTCTTTCAGAAACAGACCCACTTAGCCGAGGAAATAACAAGTTGCCCTTTAAGGCAAACTCTGACAGGTCACAGCTGGGAAGTTCTTCAGTTTCACACCCAAGTATTATACATACAGAATCAGCGTATTTGCCAGAAACAGTTAAAGCAAACTGCCAGGAAGAAACTCCAGAAACAACGGCAAGTCCTGTAGAATACCAAGATAAACTCTACTTGCACTTAAAGGAAAACTTCAGTAAAGTAAAAGCATATGCTGTGGAAATCGGAAAGAAGATTCCGGTCCCCGATCAGTGTACCATTGAAGGTATGTGCTCTGAGCACCCTAACCTGGAGAAATTTCCATCATTGCTGGGGGGAAAAAAGGCTCAAATCATAAAAATTGCCATACCCTGGATTTTTTTTTGCAAAATAGATCGTTTGAAAACACCCTCACAGTATTTTAATTGCTTTTTCCCTCCTAATAAGTTCAATCATCTTTTTTATTTCTATTTGAATCTACTTAGATGTACTTAAGTTCACCGACTCTGATTTTTTTCAAACCTCAAAATATATTGTTCCTGGTTCTCTGTCCCTAGTGTTTGGGAAACTCCTGGAAGGGGTCCATATTCCCTAAAGCAGGCTCTGGGGTAGAGGTCCAGTCAGAGACATTTTTCTAACCACATAATCATGCAAGGAAGCCACGCACAACATTGAGCTCCAAGAGATTTTTCTCTCAATCATTCAGCAGCATGTATGAAGCAGCTACTGTGTGCCAGGCAGTATGCTAAAAAAAATACAGCTTTGTGTGGGATTCAGCTGTGACCCAAACAGACACAATCCCTGGCCTCTTGGAGATTGTAGAAAGAAACGAGTGAAATCACAGTCAGGAGGTGATATATGTCAGGAACCAGTGAGAGTGTGAGCTACTCAGAAAACAGAGAACAAAGAAAAAGATGTCAGGAACTGGGACTTCCCTTGGGGGCACAATTTAAGGAGGTGCCAAAAAATTTTAAGTAAATGTCTTGCCAAGCCATATTGGAGCAGAGGCAAAAGGAGCGAGAGGTAATATTGATCATGTTTCCACTTATAATTTTGATTTTTGTTCATCATGAACCTTTTGTATTAATTTTGATTTTTTAAAAATATTATGTATTTTGACTACTAAATTTCCTCATGCTTCTTAAGTTTTGTGCCCTGTTCCTGGAAAAGAGGATAGGTTTGAGGCACAGATACTAAAATGGAAGTGTGCTGGGGCAAGCTCATCCTTCTGGTAGTGAGTTGAACAGATTTGGATGTTTTGAAGGCACTGTCGGCTAATTAGGTTTCTCTTGCAGTCTCTCTCAGTTAGCAGCCATGTTATTCCCTTGAGATCAAGATGAAGGTCCTAGCCCTCTTGTTGGACATGACAGCCTTTCACAGGCTAGACAGCGCATCTTCCAGAAAGAAACAGTGGAAAGATAGTGAATCCAATTCACATTCACCCATGCACTGACTGTCATCCCCCTCAGTGGATGGTACTAGGAGGGTCCCATTTTCCGTACTCTACTTACTATCCCTTCTCCCACTCCAAAGCAGAGAAAAGAATGTATTCTCATGCTAACAAAGGGAAAGGGGGATTCAAGCATTTGGGAATGACAAATATTGTCTGCATGTCTGTAGAATCTGACATTTCCAGAGGTGTTTATATTAATTCATTGATTAGGATTCTTAAAACTCTTTTTCTAATGGTGACAAAAAAAAAGTGATATTGCTCATATTCAATATAAGTTTTGGATAATTAAGTATAACAAGATTTGGGAATAACTAAAATCAATAAAACTCAACACAAATTCTTTACAATTTCGTATTTCATTAATACTCTATGTATTTAATGCACAGGTTGGAGAATTTAATGTAAAAGAGGTTAAATGAATTTCCCAGCTTAAGGGAGGAAGTTTGTAGCAAATGTAAAGTTAGACATATTTCCATCTGCTAGAACAGTTTTGTTTTTTAAGTTTAGCTTAAAGCATTGAAGCTGTGCTATGTGGTGAGTTTTTACCTTGTGAAAACCCGTGGAAGTCCTGCAGTTACTTCAAGCATCTAGTTGTCAAAAACACATGATATTTCTTACTGCCTTGAATTATTTTGGAAGTTTGAGGGTGACTTGGGTTTTTTTTTCTAAAATATTGAATGAATCCATCATCTTTACTCAAAACAAACAAAAATCAAAAGGTATTTTGATGTTTCCTGCCGGGAATGGCCTAGAACTGAGTATATATATTTTTTAAGTTGACATTTTGGAATTTATTCACATTTTTGTAATTTCCTGGAAGTTCCTGGAAAATTCCTTGCACAGGGATATGTGTGAGGGATTGAAGATTTATATGACTCCCTGTAAATACATCCACTGAGAAAGGGCTCGTGCTGACTGCAGGGGACGTGTTGTTATTCTTCCCGAGATTGTGTAAACCATTCAGGAGAAGGCCAGCAGTCATCTGGCTGACACAATTCTGCTTGCTGTCATGAGAGCCCTCAGCTCAACAGTATCACATTTCTTTCCTTAAAAATTTCTTGAAGAAAGATTTAGGCTTAGAAACTGTGTTATGGTTATTGTGTTGTTGGTGTAAAAAAAGGCACATTTGGCCTTTCTTGTTGAATTATGCAAAGTAATCAAGAAACAAAGGGAAGAAGCATAGAAATCACTTCCACAACATTTAGAGTTAAAAAGAAAAATAGCCAGCAGGAAACAAGAACAACAACAACAATGGGTTAGGACTAATTTTAGACTGATGTCATAATGCCTATACCATAAGAAAATGATGAAATAACACTTTAAGGAAGTTCTTTTGGTATCCTTTTGAATCGTATGGAAAAAACCAATACTGATATCTGACTCCCTTACTTTGACCTACAAAAATGTTGCTTTCATCAGGCTCAACCTAATACTTTAGTAATAAACTGTGTTGAAAGAACAGGAACCTTACTAGTCAGAGTCCAGCAGAATTCAGTATTAGGTGAATCAAGGTCACAATTACCATTCTTATCCTCAGTCAGCCATCTTATTATTACATGATATTAATCCCAGAGGGGGCAGGTAATGGAGTATAAATACAGCAGCACAAATCTGTCATCATGTCTGGAAAAATTGTCAAACCGCAGGTCTTATTGAGGTTGGGTCAGCAGTGTCATTTGGGGTATGAAAGAGCCTGTTATTCCCAGGTCAGTAATTCTCTCCTGGGCCTTCTAGGCCTCTGGTGAGGGTGCAGGTTAGCCAACCATGGAAAGTTAGGTATTCATATTCAGAGTGATGGGCTGACATCACTGCCTGATTGTATTTACGTACAAGACTGAAGGAATTTAGTTCATCAGCTAAAGGGCATTTTAAATATCTGAATCACTGGAATTCCTTTATGTGAACAAAAATGATTAGAGGTTAAAAAAAAAAAACCCAAAAACACATGCTATTGAAATAAATCCTTGAAAATCTGACCCATCACTGGTGTTCTATAAAGGATGATATAAAAGCTTACAAGAACCCATCAATGCGGCTTTGGTTCGCTTTGAAGTATTCCCTGATTGGGTGAAAATACATCCCATCTGTAGAGCGTATCAGCAAGCCTAACTTGCAGAAAGCTAATTTTAAAGCTAGTAATGTCGTCCTTTCCCTAACAGGCTGACATGAGGTGATTTTTCAACTTGAACAGATATAAGAATATACAAAAATAAAAGTTCATTTAAAATATCAAGAAACAGGTGCTGTTTCATAATTAATTACAAATAAAGTTTTCTTATTGAAATTTTGCATGTAGTCAAGTCTAACCCCATGCTGGGACGACCAAGGAGGCAAAGCCAACCCAGGCCTTACCGCTTTCTCCTTGGTTGGTCTCATCTGGAGGGTGATATAACACTCATTCATTGAGTGGTTCTGGAGGACGTGTCCTTTTTTAAAATAGGTTGGTTTAGCTGTAGGATTAGGATCATTTATTCTTAAGGAGAATTGTAAGATTTGGAAGCAGACACAAATCCTCAAGCTTTTCCACACGATTTCAGAGGGAAAAACAGCGAATAGTAAGATACAAAATTCCCTATTGCCTCATTTCATTGATATGGTCCACTGGGCTCCTGTTTGAAGAACACTAGTTAGGGAAAACTTTTCTGGAGAATTTTTCTTGGTGCTTGGGAATTTATCATGGATTCCCTATCTGCCAGTTCCCATTTTTCCCGAGTGGGTTTTAGTCAAAAGAAGATAGATATAATAGTGGCCAGGTTCTCCCCTTAACCTCATCCTGCCACTCATAGCCTGGCTTGTCATCCTCAGTTTCCCATGAGAAACATTTAAATAAAAACAATTCATTAGAAAACACTTAAATAAGTAAAAAGACGACCTACAAACCCTTTTGGAAAGATCCCTTCCAAACTCTTCTATTGAGTTAACATCAGATTATTGCCCTTGTTCATCCCCAACAGAGTAGCTGCAAGGTCACTGGTAAAGATGTTACACATTAAATACACACCTTAACCGTTGGCAGAGTTCCACTAGAGAACATCAGATAACTTTATTTCTCATTAATTATATTTTCAAAAATTACTTCTAAAAAAAAAGAAAAGAAAAAGTTTGATTTTCTTTGAACATTCAAATAGATAAAGAAAAATGCCCTAACCATGCTATTGAACAAAAGGGTGTGCTGATTATCTGCACGTTGGCTTCTCTGATGTATATCTATGAATGAGAAATATATTCATCCACCGTACACAGTAAAAGTGGCGAGCACATGTACACGCGAACCATTTTGTATGGAAATCCAGGAGTGATTGTCTGCCTATAAATCCAATGAGTCATCTAGTCCTCCTAATATAGTGCCCACCTTGGATAGGCTTAAAGAGACATTGTTAATAAAAAAGAGAAGTAAAAGCAAATACATAATGGAGCAAAAATGCACAGTTCATTTTGGCATATCCTGCCCTAAAGGTAGCCACATTAAAAGAAGAAGGAGGAGGGGAGATGCTTAGGAGCAGAAGTAGTTTGCTGTGGCAGATTTCATATTCTTAAATATATTCTTCAACTAAATGTATTATTTTTACAATAGAAAGATATGGCATCATGTTCTTATATCTGTAGTTAGCATTTTTTAATCTTTTTTTTAGTGCAGTTCATCCTCAGAGATGATTATTAATCATCCCTGATTTTTGTTTGGGGGTTGTCTTTACTCCAAAGCATGCAGTGCTGTACGAAATGGTCCTGGACCATGGATGGCACCAGCACAAGAGTACATTCCACCCCAGCTTGCTACAAACCAAATTTCAGGAAGCGAATGTTCTTTTTCCACTTGTTTCCATTATGAAACT